CCCCCACCAGGCCCTGCCCCCCCGGCACCCCCTTAACCTCCCCCCGCCCTCGCCACGGCCCTGCCCCCCCCCGACACCCCCTTAACTCCCCCCGCCTGCCAGGCCCTGTCCCGACCCCCTCACGCTCTGGGCACCAGGCCCTGCTGAGCTGGGTCCCTGCCGGGCTCCGTGTCGCCCCGGCTGCTCGCTCACCCCACCCTTTGCTATTGCAGGTTCAGCACATCCCGGCAGACCCTGACCTGGATCTCGGATTCGTTCTTTTCAAGGTGATGGGCAGAGAAGCCCGGCCCGGCGGCTGGTCACCGTGCGTGGGAGCAAAAGGCCCTAGCCCGGGCAGGCGGGGGGCTCGGCGGCTTGGGGGCAGCCAGCCCTGGGCACAGCCGGCCTGTCGCAGCCCTGGGCTTCTCTCGCTCCGGGTTTGGTACGAAGCACCTGCCCAATTACCCTCCGCCCAGCTGGGGCCGGGTTCATGGCAGCGCTGCCAGCGGCCGCAGGTGTGAACGGCTCTGCAGGGCCAGGCAGCCGCGATCTGGCACCTGGCTGGTCGGCAGGGCTGGGCAGGACTCATGGGAACTCGGCTGGTGGGTCCTGTGCCCCACCCCTGGCACCGCAGGGCTAGCGTGGTGCAGGGATCCTGCAGGGGGGGCCCCTCGCCAGGTCCTGCCCAGGCTGGTCCCCAGGGATCAGTCTGCTCTGAACCAATACAAGTGAAGGGTCCGGGGTGGGGGGCAGCACAACCGCAGCACCAGCCCCCTGCACACACAACCCTGGGGTCTGGATTAGCTGTTCCCACTCGAGAGATCTGGGAGTCCGAAAACGCCCGCTCGGTGCACAGCAGCAGGTGGAAAAGCTCTTTGGAAAGGGAGAGGGACTAAATCAGAAACTATCCTATTGCCTCTCTATAAATCCACGGTGCACCCCCATCTCGACGCTGCGGGCGGAGCTGGGCGCCCGTCTCAGAACATACCTATTGCAATTGGAAAAGTGCAGAGAAGGGCAACAAAAACGATGAGGGGTTTGGAACGGCTTCCATATGAGGAGCGATTAATCAGACTGGACTGTTCGGCGTGGAAAAGAGACGGCTAAGGGGGGATATGATAGAGAGCTATAAAATCATGACTGGTGCGGAGAAAGTAAACCAGTGTTATTTACTCCTTCTCATAACACAAGAACCAGAACACGATGAAATTAGCAGGTTTAAAACAAACAAAAAGAGGTTTTTCTTCACACAACGCACAGTCAACCTGTGGAACTCATTGCCAGGGGATGTTGCGAAGGCCAAAAGTATAACTGGGTTCAAAAAAGAATGAGGACAGGTCCATCAACGGCTATTAGCCAGGCTGGGTAGGGATGGTGTCCCTAGCCTCTGTTTGCTGGGAATGGGCGACAGGGGATGATTGATGATTCCCTGTTCTGTTCATTCCCTCTGGGGCACCTGGCATTGGCCACTGTCGGAAGACAGGACACTGGGCTCGATGGACCTTTGGTCTGACCCGGTCTGGCCGCTCTTGTGTTCTGTGGCCAAAGCGGAGCTGGCGACGCCGCGTCACAGCCCTGCGGTTATTGAGTAAGTCACCGGGGTTCTGTAATTGCCTTTCTGCTCAGTTGGGGCCTGCGTGGCCCCCAGCCCACGGGGGCCGATGCAGAGTGGGGCCCAGAGGTGCTGTTGTGCTGTGGATAGCAGCAGTCACCTCTGTCTCTGTTTAAATTCCAGCCTCCTGAGTGGCCGGATCTCCACCCTGAAGGATGAAACGGGAGCGGTGAGTTACCCCCGTGGCTGCAGCGTGGCGAGCCGGGCTGCGGGTCGCAGGAGCCGTGTTACAGAAGCACACGCGCGTCAGATCAGCGCAAGCTCTCCCACCGGGGAGAGCAACCCCCGCTGACCCCCTGCCCTGAGGCCTGCCCCTTTGGCACTGCCTCGGGCGAGCCTGGGCCCCGCTGGGCTCCCGGGGCCGTGGGCTGAGACGGGCGGAGTCCGGCTTGTGGGGTGCTGCGTGTGCTGCTCCTGACAGGAGGGCTGTCTGCCCTGACCCGCTCTCTGCCCCCGCAGATCTTCATTGACCGAGACCCCACCGTCTTTGCGCCCATTCTCAACTTCCTGCGAACCAAGGAGCTCGACCCCAGGTAAGGCAGGGCGCTGCGGGGGCAGGGAATGCGTCTGACCCCCTGTGCCAGGGATCTCCAAGAGCACTGGGGCGTTCCTGGCTCCCCCTCCTCAGCGGTGGCCCGGGAAATGGGGAAGGGGGGTCTGCCCAGCCCGTCAGGGCCGCAGGCAACGTCATGAGTCTGTGCTGTGCCTGGCACGGTGGGGCCTGGCCTGTGTCCCTGGGGCAGTGGGGGGCTCCCCCACATCCCGGGGGGCAGATCTGGCATTGCCTTGTGCTGCTCTGATCCCGGCCATTGTCCAGACCTAGCCCTGTCGCTCTGTCTTTCCAGGGGCGTCAACATCTCCCTGCTGCTGCATGAGGCTGAGTTCTATGGGATCACCCCCCTGGGTACGGCACGGGGGGGAGTCACTGCGGTGGTGGTGGGGGGGTCACCCCCCGTGGGTACGGCGACGGGGGGGAGTCGACGGCGTGGGGGGGGAGGGAGGTCGACCCGGCT